AATCAAATTGTTTGGAGTGATCCCTAACTGGAATTTGATTGTAAGTGTCGCGGATGCGACGGTTGCCCGTGGGCGCACCGTGCGCCCCGGCCCATTCGCGCTCGGATGCCAATGCGCAATGCGCCCATTGCGTCATTGGCTCCGCCCCTACGGTCGGTGCCAGTTGTTCGCCTACTATCACCGCGCTGAGCGGTCGCGTCCACGCTGTCTGCCTAGCTGCCAGGTAAGTCATTGATAGTTGTGCAACCCTTGCAGCTGAGGTCCCTGCTTGGAACGGGTACTACGTTGTCCCAAGGCTGGTAGCCGGTGGCAGGTCGGTCTTCACCGGGCAACGCGAGGAGGCTGACCCAAGGCGAGGGGGAGCTCCTCCCTGAGTCCAAGTCGGCGGAGCGCCCGCCGTAGCGCGTGTTCGTGGACAACAAAGAGCACAGAATACAATATATTTATTATACGCAATAACTCACCATCACTTCTGATCTCCCTCGGCCACCTCGCTCAAGGGCAGACCAGGCCAGCTGACTGCACGTATTAGACCCCCATCCCGCTCGGGACCATTTCTATGGGCACCTTACGGTCGGCGTGTCCTCGGAGGGGCATGATGACAGGCTGCTCCCAGACGGGGAGCAGGGGTGGAGGGTCGTAAAGGAATTCAAAAGCATTTCGAAATCGATTACGAGATTTACCATCTATCTTTCCATTCATAGCGCCTGGCAAGCGGTTATCAGCTGGCAGAACATATGGGCTGCCGTCGGCGTGAATGTGTCAATAAAAAAGCTCATTTTTGATATCACACTTCGGGACCAAATGACGCTAGTGATTTCTCATGGCGCTTCGTTCGGTCCAGTTCAGAGCGTGAAGCTTGCAAGGACATCATATTGTACACGACTAAAAACAAGTCAATTAACAGCACGGACAACCACCAAGTAAGTTTCACGATCATTGGAAAGGGAAAACAGCAGCTCTGTTCCGTCGTATGCAGGAAGAATGCTACTTATAGGCGGGGATTCGCTACAGTTTGCCTAAGAAGAGACACAGCAATTGGAAAACACTTTAAAGCAGTGCTTGAAGGAATTGGAGATCTAACAATCAGGCCCTTGTGTTGTTTGAATTTTTGGTATTTTTTATAACCATTACGGCTTCACATATTTCATCCCCATGAGGCTTGGGAATGACACGAAATTCAAATTAATTAACTTATGATGCATTCAGCTTTCAGAGACCCCCTGCGGAATTTACAGTTATCTATAAAAGGATGGATGGCAACAAGAATATGTCAACATCGAAATGTTTCTCGCTTTCGTAGCGTTCTTCCTCCTACTGGTGCACATCGAAGCCATAGGTCAGTGCAGCCGTACAGTATTGTTACTCCAAGACACTTATTCCTTCTTAGTTAGCTTACGATTATTTTCTCTGATTGAGGGTATTGTATTGGATGGTGTTATCACACTCGACAGACTTCTCTGCCCTTCGTGTTACATTCACTGGTTTCAGTAATGGAGTAGAGTAGTATTTTTCAGGTCAAAAATGTATGGATTCCTATAAACTGCGGGAAGTGATCGTTGGGTTCGTAGAAGATCCTCTTTTTGTAAGTCTTCTGTATAACGTCATGCATGTACGCAGCTGAAAGCAAGTCTGGGAAGCAGAATGGGGTGTCTTCATCATACCTTCGCTGTGGTGCTTCATGTACGATTCTCTAAAACCCTGAAAACTGCCAAAAACAGGGGAAACGTCCTCTGTTAACGTGGGCATTCGCATGCAAACAAGCATTTTTGCTTTGTCATAGTATTATGAGTGTTTGGCCTCTTGGGAGCCCACTCTGGTGATCTCTCAGTCTTCGTTAGATTTTTTTAACTACATGCACGTTGTATTTTCTATCCTATTATTGCTTAGTCGCTTTTTGTCCACAGAAATGGGATGAATACATGGCCAAAGAAGCTGAAACAATGATGGCAAAATGGCCATATCGTGCTGTGTTTTTTTCGATGCCGTTTAAAAAGGACGGACTAAGTATGAGGGGAAAAGTGCTACAACTTCTGATGAAGTACGGATCGTTGCTTCCAGAAAGAGTAAGTCGCTGGTCACTACTTGTTCTGAATATTTGCCAATACAAACGATCGAACAGAGCTAACAGGGGATTATTCAGCTGGATTATGCACTTCACAACTATTGGGCAGTGTGCTGAAAAGCAACACTGACGGTCACTCAACGCCAGAAGCCCCTGTTGCCTTTGTTGCTTGTATCAGTATGCCCTGACCAAGTTTTCACCAAGCACGGTTGCACCGCGTGGCGCAAATTTCTGAGGGAAATGAACGGTCGTGAAAACCGCTTCCTAATCTGATACTTTTCTTAGATGATTACTTTTATTTGTCTTGGATGAATTCTTCTTTATCGATTTTCTTCAGCCACACATGAAGACGCATTATGGATGCGGTTGCGAGCACTATCCCAGAAAAAGAAGTGACTTCGTGAAGATTCTGTGCCTCTTCCCACCCCCCTCGAATTACTGATGATTAGTCGAAGTGGCCATATGTGATTGAAAGTACACCGGTGCGTTTTTTGGACGCTGATCTCGAATCTGCTTTCCAAATCTGCCAAACGATTTTCCGAATGGAGTTATGAAGGAAAGTAGTGCAGCGGTAGTAGTCCGGGTTCACGTGCGAGACGTCGTAGGATCGATTCCCTGGCGGGTTCTCTTTTTTGCCTTCGCTGCAAAATGATGAAAAAGGCTCCCAACTACCTTACTCGATCAATGCTTGCCTGTAGTTACCCGTGCAAAGACTTTGCGAGGAGTTTCTAATCAGTTTCGGCGGTACTTACTAAAGACTGCACATGGAGCCCACAGAACTCTTGGCAGACGTTTTTGCAGCAAACAAGTGTGATATTCGTGTTCCGGAGATTAAAATACCCCTAGGGACAAGTTTGTAGCCAACATT